TCACATGTGTTAGCCCTGCTAGCAGCGTGGTTTCTCTGCCGTCTATTTTGACTATTAATAGGATAAATAATTGCCATGAAATTATATAGAGACATTCGTGGTCCTCAGAGGATGAATCTTACTGGTTTTTGTGATCCCTGACTTTTCTTCTACCACCACCACAAAGTGTTTGTTTTTCATTGAAATATAATGATGATTTCTGCTTCCCTAAGATTTGCCACACTGTAGATTCTCCCTTTAAAAGATATGATACCTCTGAACATTTTTTAAAGGGTGAATCCGCAGTGTTGTTAGTTATTCAAATGTCTGAACAGCTTTTGGAAGGATTGCCTTGAAATTTGGTAGATACACTTAAGTTCCCCTCAGGATGAGTTGTAATAACTGACATTTATGTCTAAATACCTGTAAGACTGACATTTCCTTCAGCTGTAGTTAAGTGTTAAGCACTATTTGGCAAATGTTACCATCCTAACACACCAAACTAAGACGGTTTAAGCAAACGTTTGTAGCAGGATGCCAGAGAATTAAAGTACAGGTCAGGGCTTCAAATTAAACAGTTTCACCACCTTCCCAAAACTCACAGGAGGAAACGCTAACATCGTACCACAGCAGTCACACGGACGAGGCGATTATCCGTCCATCACTAAACATTCGACCTGTTAAACATCAACATGTTTGCATTGTCATTGTGAGCGTGTTAGCATGAGGACGTGAGCATTTAGCTATAAAGTGCTGCTGTGGCTAAGTACAGCCTCAGGAAACAGAAGCCCAACCACACTAATTGTTTATGAAGGAGAGTGTCTGACACATTACAGATTGCTTTATTATAGTTTGTCTTTGTTTATTATTTATTTTCAGATTGATTTCGCCGTGAGTCATAGATAAAGCAGTGGAAGAGAGCTTTTGAAGGGGTGTGGAAAATCTCTGTCAGTCTTGTCATTAGAAGTTTTTTTTTTTTCTTTTCTTGAGACATTAAAAGAAAAATCAAACATCCATCTTCTTAATATTTCAGCCGTTGCAGTAGCTACCTCTTGGAGCCTTGCTGCCTGGGGCCTTATTAAATATACAAGCTGTGTGATCTTTCTGTCGGCCCTCAAATCCCTCAATTCGTCTCACTGTCTGTCAAAAGCTCAGTCAGAAGCCTCATAGGCGGGCGGAAGAAAACGCCAAACACCCTCACTCTCAACTTTGTTGCAGGATATGCCGGAAACTTTAGCTTTCACTCCTTCACAAGCCGTTCCCGCTGCCTTTCACCATCTCCCCCACATGAGTGGGGGGACCCTTGAGTTGAGTTGATTGTGGTCAAGTAAAAACCTGTTCTATTTGGATGTCAGTTCTGTCCGTGCTTCCTGTTCCTTCATAGAGGAATTTCAGGACTGTCTCAGAAAGCACAGCCAGTGTGCAGAGAGACTGTTCAAACATTTATACAAGAGCTCGCCCTCGAATGTCTAAGAACTTGGAAGCAGCGTCCCACTTCTTTCTCTTCTCTCCCCCCGAGCTCAGCACCTGCTGCTGTTATTCTTTTTCACTTCTGATGAACACGTTTTGCCCAGACCTGCTTGGTATTAATCGCAACATTGTGCATCTCTGAGTGCCTGCAAACATTACATTCTTTCACACTCTTTGCCTTGGCATGAACTACGAACTTCATCTTGATTTATGTTAAAGCCTGTGTTAAATGCATCTTGTCAGTTTTTTTCTTTTACCCCTAAATCAAATTAACAGAATACCAGACTAAAGCAGTCTGCGTTATTCATAGGCCCGACCAGTAATTTGCTGACTAAGTCATTGCTTGCTCAGTGCTCACCATGTGGAGCAAAAGGTTTTCTATCTGGGTCATCTGCGAGGTGGCTGTTCTTCTGGCTTCTCTTTTCCCCTGAGAAACTACAGACCACTTGATTTTAAAGTGTTGCAGGATTTTGCCCTCTGAAAAGGGTCTGGATTGTATTTGATTTTCAGGATGAGTAATAGAATACTTGCACTGTAATATAAAGATAAGTAGTTATATGTGTGGAAGTAACACCACCATCACCATAATTGTGACTTGGCTGCTGCAGCCGTATATTTTTTTCATAGCTCGCTCTGACACCTGTGCTGCCGACAAGTGAAAATGGCAACAACGGCAGCCCTTTAGGTGTTTAACAGCAAACCCCCTCCCTCGCAGCTCAGCGGTAGGTAATGATGGCATTATCATTGATCCCCACAAACTAATTCCAGAGCGATCAATGCTTTCCTGTGTTTTTCCCCATGCAGACGGCAGTCAGATTAAGCCGAATGTAGCGGAGAGAACACATTCTGCAGATTACAAAGCTACAACTGAAGAGATTGAGATTTAGTTTCTGTGTGTGTGTGTGTGTGTGTGTGTGTGTGTGTGTGTGTGTGTGTGTGTGTGTGTGTGTGTGTGTGTGTGTGTGTGTGTGTGTGTGTGTGTGTGTGTGTGTGTGTGTGTGTGTGTGTGTGTGTGTGTGTGTGTTTCCCCCAGAAGCAGCCACAGGCAGAGCTTTAAAACAGCATGTTTTTGGCTCCAGATTAGGCTTAGCAACAGCGTTTGCCAACATCTGTCTGCCATTACCCCTGCGACACTAGCAGTCATGCAGCAATTAATCAGACTGTTGTGATAGTTGCCTCTCGGTCACTCTGCACCTCAGGTGCATCACTAAGCAGCAGGATGAGGGTCAGCGTTCAAAAGTTCACATGTCCTGGGTGTTTTTACTATACATGTCCCTTCCTAACTACACCGAAGGCCACTGGCCTGGAGTCACTTTGTAGGACCAGAGCCTGTTGTCTAACGTTAACCTGGATTCATTCTGTTTCCTCATTTAACTGCAGCTGCACCTTTTGTGTGCTAATAATACGCTGTACATTCACTTCCGCATCTAATACATACAGATGCTTGGTATTTTCTACGTAAACTGGCATTTGGAAAATTCAGATCAGCCACTGGTGAGTAGCTTTGTAATGTTGTAGTAGTGTAAATGCAGAAGTATCCAGGTGGCTTCCTGCTTACCTATTGCACAGTGATGCTGCTGGCGGGTGTAGTTTGTCTGTGGATTATCTGGAGTAGCTTGGTTTTTATTTCCAGAAAGATACACTGCTCTTGAGCTTTTCAAATGTATTTTTTTTGGGCACTTTTAAGCACCAGAAGCCAAATGCCACCTGGTTCCATTATATTGAAGAAGAGGGAAAATATGTATTTGCTGATTGAACTGTGCCTTTAAGGTGCATTCAGACATGCAGCTACAAGGAGACAAGTAGCAGTACAATGTCTGTCATTTTAAGCAAAATGAAATCACATGCCTGTCATATGATTGGTCACTACTTTTCCTCATTCCTGTCCTTGACAGGCACACACACACACACACACACGCCAGCTGTATGGCAAGATGCTGTTTTTCAGTAGAGTCGGGGGAGCAGTAATCTCCAAACATCAGAAACGGCAGTCACATGGAGGCAGCAGGGAGAAGTGATTACTTGACTCAAACAGAATGAAAGATGGCTTTTTCCAATGTTTGTTTTTAAGATGGTATCTGTTCATGTTGTGATCTAACCCTGCAGTAAAGAAAGCGTTACAACCACAGAGGTTTGAATTCACCAGTAGCCCAGGGAATAATATCCTTATCAAGAGGAGTTGTTATGTCGGCAAAAGGTAAACACCACCTGCATTCCTGTTCGCCTCTGGTGTCTGTGACTGTGTCACTCTGAACTGCACTGCTTAATCAAGGCTCACTCTGTGTTGTGGGTTTAGTAATATATTTGATAAGGACTGTTTGGCACTTGGCCTATCAGTTCACATCCTCAGGACTTGTGCTGTGGTGTGATATAACTTGAGCTCAGAAAGCACACTGTCTGCTGCTCATGGAAAGAAACGGATCTGTGCTGAAATTTAGATTACGCTCATGATGTAAGAATCTTTCAGGGACGTTTTCGCCCGTTTAAGTGGAGCTACTTGAAGTGCTGTCGGTTTTAGCCTAGAGCTATCTTTTCAGAACATCTGTACGCTAAAAATGCAACCCCCCGAGGTCTTGGATTTTTCTTGCATTCTTTATATTTTCTAACCAGTTCTTAACATAGGATGAAAGTGAGCTGAAGAGGAAGATGAGTTTGAGGTTATTCTTGCAATGATCTAAAGATAAAACAAAAGGCACTATATACAGAACGCTCACCTCCGGTGGCCTCGGGAACGTCTTGAAAACTTTGAAATAAAACTGGCAAGAGTACAGTAGACAGCATCAAAAAAGTGCAGCTGCTTCCCTTTTGTTAAAAGCCTGAGCCTTTTTCTCTTCGGAGCGGGTGAAGATAATTCCACATCACTTTCTGAGATGGACTGTTATCAGGGATGCTTAGTAATTTGAGTCTGTGATGAGGTCGGGATGCAGGAGGAGGCCTTTAATGAGATTTGCTGGAGGTGTTGGCTCACCTACTGTGGGGAGTTTACTAGTGATGGCTCTCCCCTGTTTTGTGCTCTTTCTGTGTGACTTGGCGAGAGAGGAAATTGAAAGAAACAGATACCCCCTGGTTTCCTGCAGCACACTGATGATTTTTTCCTGAACTAGGCAATCATGCACAGAATGCAGTGAAAAACAGGATGAGCTGCAGAGCCTTGCTTTATAAAGAAACGTTTACAGTGGCTGATTATGGAAAGCCAGGCTATAAATATGTTACTGTGGATCCTCAGGCCCTGCAAGCCTTTCACCTCGTGTCTGTAGTGACAAAGAACACACAGCCTAAAAGTGACCAGCGTGTAGGCCATATCTAATGAGTTTGGTTAACTAAATGCAGCTTGGTTTCATTAAAAGATATTTTAATTTCATTGAAACATAATTTGTCAGCCATAAATTCTGAGAGGCGCAAAAGATTAAATATTAAACCTTTTTTTGTGTGCTCCTCCTCAAACAGTCCATTAAATGCAGCTCTTTCTTTCTTACTAAACTTTGATCTTGCTGCAGGCCATTATTTAATCATTGTCACTCATTGTATTTCTCTGTTATTCCCTCTCTCAGGTTCCTGTTTTGAGAAGATCTCAGAAGCCCCATTCGAGAGGAATTCCTGACTAGGGGCCAGAAAATGAGCACATCCCAGATAGAAGCAACTAGCCCACTGTGCTATCTCACTGACCTGTGAGCAGCCATGCCCTCTCTGCATCACACATCGAGGGGAACCCCTCTCCAGAGGCTGGATTGTTTTCTGACATAGATTTGTAAGCATAGCTGGACAATAGAAATGGCATTGGTTTGTGTGGGCTATAAGACATCAGAGTACATATTAGAATACAGGTGAGGCTGAACCTCGAGCCGATATCCACAGGACTCTTAAGAGGAGCGGAACAGCCTCAGATGACCTTTTCAGAAGGACGGAGCTACAGCCCAGCTTTGATGATTTAGTATCCATCCCACTGCCTTGCTGACAAGGTCGTACCATGGCTGCTGCTGATCCCCATAGCAACAGTTCCTTGGTGGGGCAAGGAGCAGACTGAGAGTCAACAATGCAACGTAACGGTGGTGGGGTGGGTGCCGGTGGCCAGCCATGGGTGTTGCGACGTGTGCGTCTCACCTGGCTCAGTTTCATGCTCTTCTTCATCCTGGTGTTCTTCCCACTCATTGCCCACTACTACCTCACTACTATAGATGAAGCTGGGGGTCCTGATAAGCGCATCTTTGGGCCGCGGCCTGGTGGTGAACTGTGCGAGGCCAAACACGTGCAGGATCTGTGCCGAATCCGCGAGTCGGTCAGCGAGGAGCTGCTGCAACTGGAGGCCAAGAGGCAGGAGCTCAACGGCGAGATCGCCCGACTCAACCTGCGCATCGAGGCCTGCAAGCGCAGCATTGACAGCGCCAAGCAGGATCTGCTGCAGCTGAAGAATGTTATCAGCCAGACAGAGCATTCCTATAAAGAACTAATGGCCCAGAACCAGCCCAAGCTATCATTGCCGGTCAGGCTGCTGCCGGACAAGGAGGACCCGGGACTGCCGCCGCCCAAGTCTGCACGCTCCTGCCGCCTACGCTCTTGCTTCGACTATGCCCGCTGCCCTCTTACGTCTGGGTTTCCTGTTTATGTCTATGACACAGGCTCCTATCAATGGGCGGACTATCTTGACCCCCTGGTGAAGCAGGCTTTTGCAGCGTCCGTTAAGAGCAACATTTATATAACTGACAACCCCAACATCGCCTGTCTGTATTTGGTGCTGGTAGGCGAGCTACAGGAGTCCTCCTCCCCACTGCCATCTCCTTCAGAGCTGGAGAAGCAACTTAAAGCTCTTCCCTACTGGAGATCTGATGGACACAATCATGTACTGGTGCATCTCTCTAGAAAGTCCATGACACAGAACTTCCTGTATAATGTGAGCACAGGGCGGGCAGCAGTCGCTCAGTCCACCTTCTTGGAGCAGCAGTACCGCGAGGGCTTTGACTTGGTCGTCTCCCCACTGGTTCATGCCCTCTCAGAACCAAACTTTCTGGAAGTGCCCCCTCAAGTTCCTGTAAAGAGGAAATACCTCTTCACCTTCCAGGGGGAGAGGGTGGAGTCACTGAGGAGCAGCTTACAGGAGGCGCCCCCTCAGTCTTTTGAGGAGGAAATGGAAGGAGACCCACCAGCTGATTACGACGATCGCATCATCGGTACCTTAAAGGCGGTGCAGGACAGCCACTTGGATCAGGTGCTGGTAGAGTTCACCTGCAAGAGCCCACGGCCAAGTTTGCCGACTGAGTGGGCTCTTTGTGGAGAGCGAGAGGACAGGCTGGAGGTGCTCAAAGCTTCAACGTTTGCCCTGGTGATTGCTCCAGGGGATGGACAGGTGGTGGCCTCAGCAGGCTGTGGGATGAGGCTCTTTGAAGCCCTAGAGGTTGGGACCATCCCAGTCGTGTTGGGGGACCACTCCAGACTACCTTATCATCAGTTCATTCGATGGAGTGAAGCCGCCATTATAGTCCCCAAGCCTCGTGTCACAGAGCTACACTTCCTGCTGCGCAGCCTATCAGATAATGACATGCTAGCTATGAGGCGGCAGGGCCGCTTTCTGTGGGAGACCTACTTCTCCACCTCGGAGAATGTTCTTAACACCCTCCTAGCCAGCATCAGAACCAGCATCCAGGTTCCTGCTGCACCCATCAAAGAAGAGCCCGCCCACGAGATTCCTCACAAAGCAGGGAAACTGGCAGGTACTGACGCCAACCTGGCTGACAACGGCGACCTGGATTTGGGTCCTGTCGAGACAGAGCCCCCCTACGCATCTCCACGCTTTCTCCGCAACTTCACATACACAGCTGCAGACACCTATAGGGCTTGGAACCGGGCCCCAGGGCCTTTCCATCTGTTTCCTCACACTCCTCTGGACCCTGTGTTGCCCTCTGAAGCAAAATTCCTTGGCTCAGGTACTGGTTTCAGGCCTATTGGTGGTGGTACTGGAGGCTCGGGGAAGGAGTTTCAGGCAGCCCTAGGAGGAAACGTGCCCCGAGAACAATTCACCGTGGTCATGCTGACATACGAGAGGGAGGAGGTGCTGATGAACTCTCTGGAGAGGTTGAATGGACTGCCGTACCTCAACAAAGTCGTGGTGGTGTGGAACTCGCCCAAGCCTCCTTCAGATGACCTACTATGGCCAGACATCGGTCTGCCGATTGTGGTGAGTGCTCCTTCAGAAGAATCCTCTAATTCAACAAATGCACACGTGTTCAACCTAATGGTATTGCTTTCTTTAGTAAAGTATCCTGTCTCTTTGAAATGCAAAAGAGGAACCTGTAACCTGCAACATTTTTCATCTGTCAGAGGTGGTGCAAAGTTTGCTTAAGTACATTATATTGAGCTGTTTTGGATCAGTGCCTCTTTGAAACTCTGCAGGAGTCCATACAAATTACCAGAAGCTTTACTAAAAGGATGAGAAGAAGTCTGACGTCCATGAATAATAAAATTTGTGCTTTGAATTAATCCTGAAAAATAAAATATTCATGTGTTTCATATTCACGCCATTAGTTTGTGACAGAGACCTTTTGGACATGTGGTAAGCTGCGAGAGAGGAACTAATGAATTGGACTTTTAGTCACTGCTAGAAGAGTCTTACCTTGTGCTAAGATTGAATAAGCTTGGATGTTTACTGTTTGAATATGGCACATGAATGTGATCGTATGGCAACATAAAAAGCACATTAAACCATGTGTGCGATAGGCAGTATTTATATCATAGCAAAGGATCAAATTAATGAGCATGTAAAAAAGGGTTTCTTGCACAGAGAATTTCCCTCACTTCTACGGAGTGTTTTAACATCTTTCTGCTCATTATTTTGGTTTCCCGCCTCACGACTTTATGTTTTGACTCTCTCTCACTGCTCTCACGAGGGTCGTTCTCAACCACGGAACGTCGCTGTATTCAGCACGAAGAAAACTGGTGGTCAACCGTTTATTAACCTGTTGAGTTTTTCAATAGCTGATGCCAATATTTATAGAGCAGGGTGCTCTATGGCCAATATATATTTATAATGCTGATATAAAAACAAAGGAAAGTAATGTATATTTCCATTATTCCATGCACATTACAATCTATATACAATAATATACATGGTTATCTTAGCGAGTAACATGTTGTTTTAGATGAAATTGTTATCAGTTAATGAAAAAGAAAAATGTTGTAGATTATTATAGAGTGGCATTTAAGAAAGAGCAGGGTACACTATGTCAGAAGACACAATATTCTGTACATTTTAACATATGTTTAATGCTAGCCAATAAAGGTTTTAAATTAAATTTGGGAGACGTGTTGACATTTAGGAAAGATGATGGTGACAACGTACAAGGCTCCAAACTCACTTTCACCACCTTCCCAGAACTCACAAGGGGGAGTGCTAACCAACTTAAAAACTGACAAGGCTGCCCACAGATCTGTTTGCAGACAATTTTTATTTATTAGCCTTGTGAGCATAGGCATCGACTAATGCCAATCATCCTGAAATGCCAGGTAATCAGACTGATTAAACGGCGGACCGCTTAATTCAATTACTCTCTGTACACTACCTGACCTTGCACCAAACCAGTAGTTGGTGATTAGCTGGTGAACATAGCAGAGCACTTTAAGACAGATATTTCCCTCAGGAGTTGGTGGGGAACACAGCAGAGCTAATTGGACTTACATTTGCAAAATAAAAGAAACACAACGTGAAATGAATGCTAATGTTGCTTTGCATTTCCTGTAAATCTACTGTTTGCTAACAAGTTCACCACATCAGCTTAAAAAGTGGTAGATGATATGCCAGTATTGAGTTTGTTTTTTGCTGCCCCCAAGTGGCCAAAAAAAATCAGTTGGTGCAGGTTTATATAGGTCAGGTAGACGTATAAAATGTTCTGTGTGTAGCTTTACTCAAAATGTACTCAACTATAGTAAATTGCGTTGCTGTGAGTAGTTGTCATGTGAAGTGCCTGACAGAAAGGTTCATGCTAAGCAGGATCTTGTCTTACGCCCGCAGGTTGTCCGAACAGAAAAGAACAGCCTGAACAACCGCTTCCTTCCCTGGGACGCAGTGGAGACCGAGGCCATACTGTCTATTGACGATGACGCTCATCTCCGCCACGATGAGATTATGTTCGGGTTCAGGTCAGTGATGGTGGCAGAATGTATGCGGTCGTTAAGACAAAATCTGGTTGTTAGTCATTACTTTTGGTATCTTACAGTGTCTATAAAAAGTATTCACCCATCTTCATGTTTTATTGTCTTACAACACTGAATCAAAGTGGATTTAATGTGGATTATTTTTGCAGCGATCAATACACTTTAATGTCAAAGTGAAATCAGGTCTCTACTACAAATATAAAATACTTGTTTTCATACTAATACTCACCTTTTTAATGGCACTCTCTTGGCTTGACAACTTATAATTCTTTGGAAAGTTTAATAAGAAGTTGCAACCTTAAATATAATTGCTATTGCTGTCTGTGAAAATGCAGTAAAATAGAAGGGAAAGCTTTGTCTCCAACGAGAAGTAAAAATGTCCAAAAAAACGCTGAAGCGTCACATTCCTGAAAACACTGAATTAGACAGAGAAACTGAACCAACCACTACAGACTGGACCGGAGAAAATTAAAGGGAAACATGCTGTCAGTGCCTTGTATTTATGATTCATTTGCTAATACTGTACTCAGATAAGCTGAACGTGAAGGCCATGTTTAAACCAATTAAATGATCAAGTACGCTGTTATGTTATTTTTGTGCACCACCCCTCCCTCTCTGAGACTTGTCTACAACTGTAGCAGCTTGTTCAGGCAGGCCACAACTGGCTATGTGTGTGGATGTGTGTGGGTGTGGGTGTGGGGTCATTTGTCATGAATTTTCTCAAACTCCCCCAGAATTACCCATGAATGTTTCCTCACCTCCACTCTCGCCAAAGAGGAAACACTACGCAGCAGCTGACTGTGGTAGACGTAGCAGTGGTCTCACATGAGCTCACTCAAGACATTCGATGGCTCTTTGAGATTTGTTGCATCGACTGTGTCTGTAGAAGGAATTCCAAGTTTCTAATGAGATACTCTTTGTGTGGTCCAAGACTTTCTAGCAGGGACTGGGCAGCAGTATGCGTAAATATGAGCCAAGAGTGACATTTTAGTTTTAAACATCTTTAGAAAACTCTCATACACTGTCAATACAAAATGGTTACTTAATTACTCCCAAGAGGCAAATGGTTGTCACGAGTTGAAACAGATGGATGCAAACGGATGGCATATGCACAGACAGACACTTGGAAACCAAACTGATGACCATAAAAATAAAAAAAAAGTCCCATAACCACCAAACATTTATTAATTCTGCCCAGTCAGTCTTATGTAATTGATTGAAAATGAGGAATTCTGCTGACTGCGTTTTGTGTCGTTTGGTGGCGTCTCGCAGAGTTTGGCGCGAGGCCAGAGATCGTATCGTTGGTTTCCCTGGGAGGTATCACGCGTGGGACGTCAATCACCAGTCCTGGCTCTACAACTCCAACTACTCCTGTGAGCTCTCCATGGTGCTGACAGGAGCTGCTTTCTTCCACAAGGTCAGATCATCTCATCTTATCTCCCACCCCCCTCCCTAAAAAAAATAAAAGTACACATTCAGCTAAAATGCATCTATTTACCATCTCATTAGCCATATCATTCATGTGTTCCCCTGTGTGCTCGTGTTTTTTGTAGTACTATGCCTATCTATACTCCTACGTGATGCCCCAGGCCATCAGGGACATGGTGGATGAGTACATAAACTGCGAGGACATCGCCATGAACTTCCTGGTCTCTCATATCACCCGCAAACCACCCATCAAGGTCAGTGACAGAGCGCGCAGTCCGGCTGTGCTCAGCATACACAAACTTTTGTATCTCCCCCAGGCCCCAGTGTATTTATATTTTTGCCCACTTAGCCTTGTCATTACTCAAACTGACATGTCCAATATTCCCCCACAAATGATAAATCAAAAACACAAGATCGAATTGGTGTGTTATGTCCGATTTTTTTTTTTCTTTTTTTCTCCTCTGGATTTTTATTGGTAGGACATTTATTACCAGAGTGCATATTTATGGCTAGACAAATAATTATAGCAATCAAGCTGGGGAAGCTGTTGGAACAGAAATGTCATTGCAGCCCTCAGTTTAAGTTCTTTTTGATTTAGTGGGGTGTTAATATTCAGGGTGTTTCAGAGGGGAATTAAGGACGGCTTTGATGGAGTGCATTTCATGACGGCAATTCACTGCGAGGAATAAGTCTTGTGAATAATGAATTTGGGGCAAGTTTGAGTGTGGAGTCCTAAATGGTGAGAAACTATATTTCTCTTTTAGTCAAAAAAAAAAAAGACAAATAAAACCAAAAATAAATTACTTTTTATGCATCACTGATGGTGAATTAACAAAATTCAGACTTTGGGGATGTTTTTCCTTTTATTAATTGACTATTCGCTAAGCCCCATCCCCTGCTGCGCAGCACATATGCAGTTCACGGGTACACGATAACAGATATACCACTTACTTTTTAAAGCAATGAGTCTGATTTTAGACTGGCAGACTAATTCTCATTTCTAATCAATAACGGATGATTTTGAGGGCTGAATGATAACTGACATCAGCTCTACCTGGTGAGCTAATTAAGCTAAGGTTAGCTGCTTGAGTTGAGTTGAAACAGCTGACTTTTAAATGAACTGAAGCTGGCTCGTTTAAAAATAAAAAATCTAATAAAAGGGTTTTATTTATTCAGTATTTAATTCCTGAAACACATTGGATCGCATGCACAAAAAACAAATATTACACAATCTCTCTCTCTCTCTCTCTCTCTCTGTGTGTTAGGTAACGTCTCGTTGGACCTTCCGCTGCCCCGGCTGCCCTCAGGCCCTTTCACACGATGACTCGCATTTCCACGAGCGCCACAAGTGCATCAACTTCTTCGTCAAGGTGTACGGCTACATGCCGCTGCTGTACACGCAGTTCCGTGTGGACTCTGTGCTTTTTAAGACTCGTTTACCCCACGACAAGACCAAGTGCTTCAAGTTCATCTAGCATCGGGCTGAGCGGCCCAGCAAAGAGCCAAAAGCAGAGAGGATTGAAGGACTGGAAGTATTTAAAAGAACAGCAGCTCTCAGTGGGTAAAGATGGATGGGCTGCCAGATAAAAGCACAGAAGGAAAGTTTTGGGTTAGGATTTTGCCCGGGGGGATAGACAAGTTAACCTTAAGAGCTGTTGGCTTGTGGTCTAATCCATAACTCTACTGAAAATTTGAAGAGCGGAAGCTGAAAGGGACCACTGCCAACAAAATGAGCCTTTTCAGTGGATGTCACTGCTCCTTTTTCATGTTCTTCAATCATGCTCATCAACCACTACAGATGTCATTTGCACCTCTTAACGGCCTGCTGAGGAAAGAGAGGCGGTTGTACACAGTGTACAGAAACTCTCCCACGATAAACCCTACCTGATAACGGAGCTACCGGTTACTGAATCACTGACAGACGTCGGGCTGCGTCTCCCAGCAGCCTGTTGACAGTTTCAGCCGGGAGAGCAAACGTGGCATCGGCACACGGCTGTCACTGCGCTTTGTGTGTGTTTTCCATTTTACACTTACAAACTGTACTTCTTGTACATGTACGTGAGAGAAGCACTGATGGTCAGAAGTATTTTATTGAACAGTCTTTCTTTTTTTTTTTTTTTTTTTTTTAAATAACGTTTAAATGTGTAAATCTCTATGTTGAACGAACATTTTCCTGAAGCTCTGCCTGTGGGAGATCAAACACGGACTTGTTCATCTGAGAATGAGACAGGACCTCAACTGAACAGTTAAAACAGGTTGGCTCAATCAACGTTTAGTAGTGTTACGTGTTCAAGAAGGAATTCACTTCAACGGTCACCATAATGCCTCGAATTTGTCATGAAAACCAGCCACCATTTTGTCATTTTGTTATGCTTACAAGATCCGCACTCTTTGAAGAGTGTGTGAAATGGCCTGTTTTTTATGCTGTAGGGTGTTTACTAATGTTTGTAAAATTGGTCCGAGGGTAAAGTAGTCCGGTTTAAATGTAATAATATTAACCAATCAACGGTTACAATGTCCCTTACTGAAGTGCAACAAAGTCAAGAACCACATCGGCCAAAATCAACAAAAATAGGTTTGAATGTCAAATTCAGGTTGTAATTATAAAGAAAGTCTTCAGCGACGTTAATTGTACTGTTAGGATTACGGTAAATTTATTGTAATTTTAGGTTTAGAGAGAATAGTTTGACAGTTTGGGGAAGAAATGTTGTTTTTGCTTTCTGGAGGATCTGTCCATTAAATATGAAGCTGTAGCCGCTTAGCTTAGCTTAGCATAAAGACTGCTTACAGGTGGAAGCAACTAGCCTGGCTCTGTACAAAGGTAATCTATGAAGCTAGGCTCACTGATCAACACATGATATATAAAACAACAAACAGTTTCCCTGTTTCCAGTTTTTGTGCTAAGCTAAGCTAACTGGCTCAGCCTCATATTTAATAAATACAAGATGTTCTTATTTAACTTTTTACCATAGAGAAAATAATCATATTCCCTGACTTTTGAGCTATTCCCTTTAATATATTGCCAGTTCTGACTTTGCAATAGAATTATTGAAGTACTAGATATGTTCTGCCATGTTCATGTCACCTTCCTGTATAGAAACTTTCCCAGCTAAGACAAAAACGTCACTTTACAGTGTCGCCATATTGGTTTCACTTTGTTGTTGTTTTTTTTTTACCATTGCTTGATGAATGTTTTCTTTGCCAAATAGGTACGACGTCTGCTGCTTTACAGTATAAGTTTCAGGGTGCACAGTGTGAATGATTGCTAAAGGGATGCAATCTGGTACACCTTTATCCACTCTGCATGGTACTTTACCAGGAGTCAATCCATTGGAAGCCCTTCCCATCATGTATTATATACCCAAAGTCCTTTATTTGACCTTGTCAGACTTAATTCCTTTAATCTGAACAAAATATTAACCTAAAATGATCCCTTTAAAAATGTATTAAGATAAGTTTAGGACTTTTTCCCCCAAAGTAGGTTCTGTGAGGATGCTTTTATGAAACAAACACTCTCATAAGTCCATGGTTCCTGTATATTTATTGAATATATTATTAAAAAAGATTTTTTTTAAACTGATAATGACACATTCAATAAAATGACAAGACATTGTACTTTATTATTCCTAATCACAAAGAGATCCCAACTTGATTGAGCCTTCTGCTTATTTCATTGCCAAGGAAAACTAGCTTGTGCCACTGAACGCTTGAGGGGGAAGTTAACTGACCTGAGAGCAGCACTCAGGCAGGCAAATGTGTTTTATAGATGGCGAGATGACCTGGTTCTCAGAAAGGTTGAGTTGTAGTAGAATGTCATAAACTGAGCCTCTGCAGCAATCACTGGACGCGCAGTAAAGTATCTTTTGAAGCCAAATCCCGACCTGCTCCAGGTGGCTGCTACTACTCTCTGCCCCCTCCAGTGCAATATAAAAATATTTGATTGGGCATGTTTCGCTAAAAGGGATAAAGGAAGAGCCAGATTCCTAATTACTCTGGTGTAAAATGGCAACATAGCTAAAACAAATTCAAATTGACTCTTCTGCTGCAGCAGACTTGAAAAACCCAGGCCTGGCTCCTAACCCGCCTCGTCACATCTGAACACTTCTATTGGCGCTCCAAGGGCCTCGTAATTACCTGACTGACTATCAACCTGTCCTCGGGGCATAGTGTTGGATGGGGTTGGCTGGTATTTTGGAACCTCCCATACCTCCAGTGCCTGGCTCCCCCCCCTCTATGGTCCGTGGCACAGCTGGTTTTCCATGGCCTAGAGCAGAATACACTTTGTTGGAAGGCCGCAGTCGCTCTGCTAGGTGTAAGTTGTTGTGAAACTCTGTGCTCCTGGGGCTGAGCCGCAACTGTGGGCGAGGCTCCAGCCACTTGCAACGCTGCTTGAGCTGTACCAGACTGATGACAGCATCAAACAAACCATTGAAGGCCAGATAAATGGAAATAAAAACTCTCAACATTGTTAAAACATTTTCTGACTTACGGCCTCATTCTTTTTTTCCCCACATTCCTGCACTTTGACGATATGATGATGCCTTAAAATAATAACAATCAATCAGAACTTTAAGGGAATTGTTGGACCTTTTGAGAAATAGGCTTATTTGCTTTCTTAGCAAGTTAGCTAATTTAATACAACTCATGTCTGTAGGGTAAAAATGCAGCTGCGGCTAACTAGGTAGCTTAACATTAAGACTTAAAATAAGGGGAAATGGCTGGTCTGGTTCCATCCAAAGGAAGCAAAACTACCTACCAGCACCTCTAAAGCTCACTCATCAACATGTTATACATCTCGTGTGTTTCATTTATCCAAAGCAATTTGCGGTTTTACAGGGACTTATGGGCCGGTCTGTTTCCTGGACATGACCGGTTGCTAGGCAACCAGCAGAGATTTCAGGAAGTTACTGGTCCCATCTGGTCCCAACCAATAACTAGTCCATAACCCCCATATAACAATAAAGAATTTCATTTGCACAACAAGTGAAATGTAAAAGAACAAATGAGACACAGTGTGTTAATGAGTGAGCTTTAACAGTGTTTGTTAGACGGACTGTCTTCACGCCAAGCTGCTGCTGTCAGTAGCTTCATACACACAGACATGAAAGTTGCATTGGGGGGAAGCAAACAAGTGTATTTCCCAATGTGTCGAACTATTCCTTCAATGGTTATATAATGCTGGTTTATGCACAAATTGTACTTATACCAAAATGCAAGCCAAAAAAAAAAAATAAATAAAATCCACTAGTTGCTGTTATTCCCTCTTTCTGCAACCAAAAGCCAATTGTTTATCTGTCTGGAATGTTAAACATCTGGTTTTCATTCATTTTATAATGAATACATTTTGACTTTTGTAGAACTTTGGCCATGCTGGAGAACTGAAGAGACGAGGTGTGGTTTAAGCACCCCAAACCCAGAGGAGGGGTTCAGCTCTGACATCAGTGAGACAAGAAAGAAATATGCATCCCACACCCCTCAGCTTCAGCCAGCAGAGAGAGAGCGAGGAAGAGAGGGTGTTTTAGAGTTTTTTTTTTACTGAAACACGGGTGTGGTGTGTAGTTTTTTGGGGGGATTTTCTGACTCATAGTTTTTCTCCTCAGATGAGGGTTAAATATTGGCTTTGTTCCAGATGAGGACCGTACAGGTAGAACCAGATTTCTCACAGTTCTGGACAGTGTTTTCATTTATTTTAGCCTTTATTTAATAATACATCTTCCATCCACTTGTAATGAGAAAATATGATTTACCTTTTTTTCTGTAATTTTGTTTTTTTGCCGTTCCAACTCACTTTACAGCCAACACAGCCGAGGTTGTCAGCCGCACTGCCTCACAGAAACAACCAGGTTTATTGGACTGCGCAGGCTTTTGCATATTCCTCCTCAGCGGGAAGCACCGTGTTTCTACATGAATGAACATGGCTGAGTTGTCAGAAGGCTGAATGGTGAAAGAGGCTCAATCTGTATTACACAGGAAGGGGAAGCTGCTCTTTGATACCAGTGGCATGCAGAGCTGTGTCCAATTCTGTAAGAGACTCAGCGAGCGCGAGACAGAATTTCATTCCTCTTGTTTAAAGTGGTGTCAGATGCATAGTGTACTGAGTTATGCAAGACCACAATGAAAAAAAAAAAAGATCTGTCTTTGTATAACACATAGCCCAGAGAGACAGCCATAAAACCGGTAAACCATTTGACTGATAATCCCAAAAAGATAAAAGCGGAAACGAATGAATGAATCTTTTGCATAATGTCATGTGCATGTAAACAAACTGTACAAAGCATAGCTTGTAGGCATAGTTGCAGCATGTTGTAGGCTCTTTGTAACAGTCTTTTCATTGCCTTTCTCTTTTGTCAATGGCTATGACTGATAGAGAAATGTCTGGTATGCTGGTGGCAGCTGAAGTCCAGAGAAGCCCAGAAGAAACAGGGAGGAGTCTGCTTAGTCGTGGACCGAGCTCTTTGGTCCAAGATTCAGAGACAGAAAAAAAATGTTCGCAAGTGTCTTAACATTGTCCTGTAAACAGTGTACATGCAAATCTTGCTGTAGGCAGGATTACTGGAAAACAAACCATATCCTTCTGCTCTTGGTTAGTTCGGTGATTATAATGTCATTAATTTTCAGTCTGCCGTTGCCAGACTAAAGAGGCTGCAGCTGGAGCTCTGGCAGTGAAGACTGGGAACCCATGCCTGTCCTCACACCTGTACGCAGCACACGCACACACACACACACACACACACACACACACACACACACACACACACACACACACACACACACACACATCACACTCTGACTGTCCGGGGAATGCTGTTTAAGTAAGTTCAGTATTCATAAATCTTCCTCCTATGTGTCAGTAAGTGTGTGCCAGTGGCAGACCTGCTGTCCCTCCGCCTCTTTCATCTCTGTCCAGTGGGCCTGCTGCTCCTCGCTGGAGCTGTTGAGGCCCAGGGAGACCCAGCCCAGCCTCTCCCTGGGCCTCATGCTGCTCCGGCGGCAGAACACCGTCAGCACCAGCGACACCTCGGACAGCTGGAAGAGCGCCACCTGGAACACGAACGTCTCCTTGTAGGTGGGGTTGGGCTGGCCGCGGCATACGGCCGTCTTGCACTTGGACATCTCTTTCCCTTTGGAGTCCAGCATAGTCAGCTTCACGTAGGTGTCTGAAAGGAGGTGTGGCAGAGTGGTGAGAGAATGCCATCAAGTGGTGGCACATCAGTACTGCAACAACCATAACAAACTGCAGCAGAGGTTTGTCTTCTTGGGCTCAATCATTTAAACTTTAAAAGCAGAGTTAATGTATGGAAGTAAACCAGAGCTCTGGGTCTCAGTGAAGACTAGGGTTAAAAACCAGAGCTGTACATTAGAATGTGTGTTTTTAAAGGCTCAGTTCACAAAAAATGTATATGAAAAAAAACCTCTATTGGTATCTAGCCATACTATTTGTGGTGATTACAGCATAAAAAAACATTTTTAACAGAAACTTGTTTTTCCAGAATTAGTGTCCTTGTTACTCCACAGACACTGTGGACAGTTTTCAATGGAACTTTCTACCTTGAAAGGGTCTTAAAACTATTCCCAAAGAGGTAAAACAAAATCTGCCTATCAGCTCCAATAAAGCTCTCAAATTAACATGTTATATTTTACATTTGTTTAATCAGTACAAAAACATTACCTCCCATAAAAAGATACTGTGTCAAACACTGTGTGAACTTTAAAGGTGGTGGTCAAGATCTTTTTCTTTTTCATTGGACAGCCAGGCTCGCTGTTTCCTGTTTACAGTCTTTATGCTAAGCTAAGAGTCTCCAGGCTCCAGCTTCATGAATATTGTACAGAGATCAAAGTGGCATCGATGTTCTCATCTGCCTCCCAGCAAGAAGTCAAAAAAGCATATTTTCCAAAATGACTACCCCAAAGCTGTTCCTTTAAAGAGTTAAAGAGTAAAATGTTTTTTTTTAGTGCTGAGAGCATCATAAACAGGACAAATAAAATCAGAACATTCCCACAATCCCACAAGAGGTGGAGAGAAAATATGTTCTGAAATTTCAATCAAACCAGACCTAGTGAGTAAAGTCTGGTCAGAAACAAATATTTGGAGGATTATATGCTAGAAGTGTTTTATTGTTTATTTACACACTGCTAGAACTTCATCCAGTGAACTAAATATGTGGAGTTTTGGGTTCGGACCTTAAACTATATTATACAAATTAAAGCTCCCACGATTAGTCGATTAATCAGTCAGTTGTCAACTGTTCAGTTCATCAAATGTGAATGTTTTCTGGTTTCTTTAGTCCTCTATGACAGTGAACTGAATATCTTATCATCATCTTGGGCCATGTGATTGACGTTTTTCACCATTTTCTGACATTTAATGGACCAAACAACTAACCGATTAGTCGACAGTGAAAATAATCATGAATAAAACACTGAATACCAAAAGATTACTTGTAAGTTCTTTGCTGCTGACTTACCTCTCATAATATAAAGCTGCCCCCCAACAAAGTGCTTTATACAACAGAACAGACCATCTGTGGCACACACCACGGCACACACCATGGCACACAAGGTTGGAAAGAAGAAAGAGAGGAAGCAGTCAGAGTGAGCACTTTAAAGATCGTGAAAAAACACCAGAACGTCAGCCTTTCATGGGAACTCAGCGATGGCTTCAGCATTATGGCTTTAATCACTTAGGTTATTAAAAAGCCGGTGCTGTTGCCAGGAGACATTTAAATGTAATGGCGCACCATTTGTTTTCGTTACATGCTGCCGGGAGTCTTGCCCATCTGTTATTGCCAAAACAATTGCCGAGAGTATCAGCACACTTTGGGGAAGGCCCATTACAAGGGCGAATTTCACTGGAAGGAAGATTTACACTGTCACTCAGCACCTCATTCCAAGCTGGCATGAAAAACCCAAAGAATAAAAACAGTTCAACATGGAAGCTTTTGTACGTACTGACGGGTTTATCGGACGCTGTGGTTTTGAAGTGGCTTCCCTGGATGACCTCAGCAGATAACTGTCCCGTGGCAGAGTTGTAAATGAGACCCAGGAGGATCTCTGGCAAGGATGAGTCTTCAGTGGAGCGGTAGGACAGAGCTCCTGCGCTGCGAGACACACTCACCAGAGAGCCGCAACCCTGGCGAGATGAAACACACGGGCAGTTATTTAAAGAAGAGAGGGAGATTTTTAGAGTTTGTACCAACTACAAAGCTAGAAAGAAGAAGGCATTCCAAGATAGTTTGGCCTTGACCTCAGATAGTCAGGCCACCAAATTTCACAAACAACTCTTTAGCCACGCTAGCACCATGGCTCCAGTACAAAACTTTAGTTCAGACAGAAATATCTCTACTACTATAAGTTGAGATGGAGTGTCATGACATTATGTACAGATGTTCTAGGTCCCCACAGGATGAACCCTACTGATTTTGGTGACCCTCATGAGGCTGACATTCGTGGCATTGAGTAAAACTTTAAAGCTATTGTATGAATTGCTATGAAATTTGCAACCTACATTCATGTTGCCCTCAAGATGAATTATAACAACTTTGGTAGTCCTCTGATTTTACGTCAAGTGCCATCATCAGGTCAAAGTTTTAATTTGTCCAATACTTTGGTCTACTTCCAAATATTATTTTTTAAGCAAAAATTACAAACATTTGCTGGTTCCACTTACTCAAATGTAAGGAATCTTCTGCACTTCCTTGTCTTACATTAAGGTAAACTGAATAGTATTGGGGTTTGAATTGTTGGTTGAACCAAACAAGACATATGAAGATGTCACCTTGGGTATTTTTCACTTTTTTATAGTTTTATCGGCCAAAAAACGAGTTGGTCAATTAAGAAAATAAGAAGATTAATCAGTTATCTTAAAATAGTCCATAGATGAAGCTCTAGACCAATCTGCAGTTGAATAAAACAGCTCTAGAGTTCATATTGTTTATTGTCCCACTGCCTCAGGTGAAACTATGCACAGTGCAAGACAGAAATTCACAAAGTGTTCTCACGGTAAGTTCAGAGCCCGGCTCCAGGGTGACAGGTAGAGCGATCTTGCCCTGAAGGTTGAGCTTAGTCAGGTAGAACACCTTCTCTCCCAGGACCTTCTCTTTTTTCATCCGCCTGATGCTGTACAGGCGGAAGCGAACGGCGTAGTCCCCCAGGGCCTCCTGTTCCACCCTGGAAAACTTGAAAGTTTCCGTGAAGACAGGACACGGGCCCTTCTGCACACCGGTCTTGGCCCGTTGCTTCTTGGTGGGCAGCAGGACCAGGTGGACCTGCCACGCGATGTTTCCCGTCTGTTTAAGAGCAGGAATGTCTGTCGCCGCGGTGACCGTGACAGCCAGATACTGCTCGCTGGAGTCGTACTCAAAGGCGACGTCCAGTGTGCCGTATTTGCCGAGTGCCTCTGGCTCGTAGGCCGTAGGGAGCTGAGGACCAGAGCCGTCCTGAAGGGAAGAAAAGGGAGAATTGTCAGAGGAATGGTGGAGGGAAAGAGATAAGAGAGTGTAGAAGAGGAAGGGAATCTTAAGTGTTGTAACCTATTAGCCTTCATCAACTTCCTGCTGTTGCTGCATAGTATTACATAATTTATGTTTTAGACGAGGTGATATGTAAGTCATATAAAACCATACAATTTATTGTTTCTATTAGCTTTCCGGCACTGATTGTATGTCTAAAGCTTTTACTGATTTTCTCAACAAAACAAATCGTTTTCACCCACATTTTATTCCCCCACACATTCATAAGTTGTGTGCTGCTGCAGGAATACTGTGGTTACGACTTGTTATGACAAAGACAGGTATGAAAAGTGAAAATTGGGGAAAGAATGCAAATGAGCTTCTGGAAACCCCTGAAGTTAACTGACAAAACAATAAATTATTAAGCTGTGTTTTGCGGCAAACGTTGTTTTTAGAGTCCAATTAGAATCAGATTTTCAACTGTTTTTTAATGTTCCAAATAATCTCCAATAAATTATCTGATTTATTATTGAAAAATAAACAGATATAATGATCGTTATGAGGCATATTTTGTAGGATCAGTGGAAACTGCAACAATGCGGCTTAATTTGTTTTTCTCCTAAACAAGTACAATCAGCCCTCTGTGTGTGATAGTTTTCCCCTTGGTGGCCCATATTTTCTGGGCTGCAGCTATAAGCAGAGGAAAAGAAAACAAAAGAGTATCACTGAATCTGAATTTGATTAGGGAGTGAAGGATCAGTGTGTAGCTGTGTCAGGATGACCTAGGAGGAATGTCCCAGAATAATAGATGATATATTCATTTCAAAGACAGGGAAGTCGTGAGCCCCAGACGTGACCAAAAATGTATATCTCATATCTCTATATCATATTTCATGATACTGTTAATCTCATGATACTGTCTGATCACGTAGACCACTGTCAGAAGGAAAAGTATTAGATTATGAGACCCTTTAGTTCAGTTGATCTTGACTCTATTCTGTATTAATACAAATAAACCTTATGGGAAGTGAAGCTGCCTGATTCTATTTGTCGTTTATGAGTCCTCCTTTAAGTTTAAGTCAGTATTTTTATGGATTCAGATAAAAAAATAAGTACTCCTTATGTTAAGATGACCTGTTACTGACACTGTAATGGAAGTAACATTATTACAGTAACAAGTTATCTAGTTACACTAGTAAATGCCTAATTAACTGGTAATAATGATGACTTTTTGTACTATCGTTATGGTAAACTACAGGGCAGGTATAAAATATAATATATTTATTTTTACACAATAAAAACAATTGTTATGGGCTGCTTGAGGACACAAAAGAGGGAACATACAGTAGCTCTGATCTCACCTCTGGTCCCAGGACAGCGGTGCTGTCACTGGGTATGTCCTCCTCACAGCCTTTGTTGAGGTAGCTCTCAGTGTCCTGGTCCACACTGGCCTCACTGGAGCACCGGGGGCTGTCGCAGTGCTGTGGGGACGACCCCCTTCTGACCCCTCGCTCCGAGCGGGAACGAGAGGACACACGCGCCGCCGAGCCCTCATCCTGGTACGGAGGAGGCTTGTGCTCATTGAGGGAGGAATCTTTCTTTATTCTCTGGATGCTGTTGGCTACAGGAGGGACACAGGAGGAGTAATGTGATATGATATATGATATACTGGAGACTGCAGGGATACTTATTATGTATGCAACATACAGTTTACCACAGAGTTGAGTTAACCTGACCCACAGGTGAGTCCATTTTAAAAAGTAGGTTTCAAGAGGTAAAGATGCCCCGTGTATTTGTTACAATGCAATTTTGGAAAAAGTACATAGAGAATAAGTTACTGTATGCTGTTGTACGATGTAGTACTATAAAGACAAATAAAGGAACAGTTCAACATTTTAGATTAGACATCCAATACCACTCAGAATCCGCCTACCAGCACCTCCAGGCCATGAAATAGTTTTGACCACGAATTGTTGTTTTTACACTTTGGCTTTGTATGGATTAAACCTACTACAGGAAGTTTTAACTGGTTATGAAACAGTCTCAGTTTAATACTGATGTCTCTATATGACCTACATAATCAAACAAGACTATCAGCAATAAGATTTCTATGTAGTTATTCTTAATGCGTGCTACTGGGTTGAACTAGATCAGATTCCCCTTTAAATCAACGAAACAGGCGGTGGAAACACTACCGCTTTTGTCCACAGGGGCTGCCGGAATCAACAATAAATGTAAGTTCCTTGTTGCTGCTTTAAACAAACAAGATCTACATGTGTTAATCCGTGAACTTCAGAGGTGCTTGTTACCTTTACAAAGAGCCAGGCTAAATGTTTCCTCCTGCTTCCAGTTTCAATGTGAAGCTAAGCTAACCGTATGTAGCTTCATATTTAATTCATATTTATTTTCAGATATGAGAGAGATATCACTCCTTTCTTCTAACTCTCTGCAAGATATGAAATATTTACTATAATGTTGAACTATTTAGGGAGTCATTTTAGAAGCTTAGATAAAACCAAATTTACCTGGAACTCCTCACGTGAGAGAAAAGTATAAATAAGTAACGGTATTTTATTTATAGAGCACTTTTCAAGATACTCTAAGACGATTTACACAATGAAGAAAAGATACTAAATACCTCAATAGAGACACAATAGACATTATAGAAATATAAGGCATACAGTAACATACAGAGTTGTAAGAAGAAAAATAATCTTTCCCTTTTACCTTTAGGTGCAAGAGAGTGAACGGGTGATAGGTATAAGTATGTTTGAGAATTGTATGTATGAAGTATGAAAAACTAACAATGGCACTTTGTACACAGTAGCAGGTACTAAAAAACAAACTATTATTATAAAATTATAGCTAATGGCCATTTAAAATGTATGTATAACTTATAGCTCCATAAAGCCACTTTTTACATATTTATTTATAAGAATTTTGATCTACTGCATTTTATATTCCTTGTTATATCATTACTGGTATTTTGTCACTATTCTTTCATGCTGTGCATTGTGTGATGCTTCATTATTTTTATCTAAGTGTGTCTTGTATGTTTTTGTTTATGTTCTACAATGCTATCTTGGTCAGGAGACTCCTGTAACTCCTCCTGGTTAGATAAAATGATGTATATGAAGCAAATATGCACATTCTCACCCCGTTCACTGGAGGCTTCACTGCTGTAGCCTCCCTGCTCGGTGGACTGTTTGCATTTGTTGCTCCACGCAGAGGTTGTGTTCTGCTGGGCCACAGCCTCGGGCCCTTTGTCCTCTTCGCTGTCTGATAAAACTCCCTCTGGACAGAACACATGGAGACTCTAGTTCAAACATTGCATTTATCACACAAACCAAAATATGTGTGACGTTTAGAGAAACGCAGAAGATGAGAGCAAAGGTGCAGATGCTTGAAAGCTGGCACAAGGCACTCTGGAAAGGTTCATTTTCAGGTTATGCTTTCAAATGTTGGAAGAGTTTGAAGACAAGAGAAGAAGACCCAGGCGGTCAAACAGAAGCAGGACATCGTCTAACCTTGGTTGCTTTTCTTTTTCTTCTTGGTTTTCTTCCCTTTCTCCTTCTTTTTCTCCACATCTGGGGTTTCTTCTGATTTCTTTGAACCCCTCTTCGCTCCTTTCCCTTTCTTCTTGTCTGACTTTTTCTTTTTCACTGTTGTGGAAGATCTAGAAAGCTCGGCCTCCTCCTCATCATCTCCCTCTCTCTCGAGGCTGTCCTCTCTTGCTTCCTCTTCCTCTCCCTCTTCTTTTTGCTTGTTCTGTTTCGTTAACCTGCTTTCAGTCTCTGGACTAGGTGACTGAGGAGGTTCATCGCAGTCATCAGCTTTTTTCTGAGCACTGGATTGGTCTCCACTGTCACTCTCCTTTCTCTCTGGTACATTATCTGTTTCCTGCTCTTGCTCTCCATCTTGGGATTCCTCCTTGTTTTTCTGTGTCTTGGCTTCTTTCTCCAGCTGCTTCTCTCTCCTTTCTTTTCTCCTCTGCTCTTTCTTCTCCTGAAGCTCCTTCTCCTCTTTCTTCCTCTTCTCTTCCTCTGCTAACTCTGCTTCAGTCCTTTTCACCCGCCAGCATCCATCTCTCCATTCCCACTCCAGCTGGCTCGCAGCATGCTCAGCCTCCGTGGTATCACTGGCCTGGTTGGTCTTCGAGGTTGCGTTGCCTGCGTCTGAGTCTCTAGACATTTGCCACATGCTTTTATTGCTGGCCTTGCCCTCCTGTGCGGTGCAAGTCTGACCGGCCTCCTGGGTGCTGCTATTTTCCCCATCGTCCACCTTGTTGATGATAGTGGTGACCTGCTCTGTCAGTTGGTCGCTGACAGCGTAAGTGACATCACTGACAGCATTGGCCAGGTCATCCACACGACTGGTGACTGAGTCCAAGATGGAGGAAATGTTGACAGATGGCAGGTTGTGCTGGAAGCTCTTGAAGAAGGCCATCTCTCAGCCGGGGATCCCGTCGCCACGCTGACCACTAGATTAGCTAATCAGAGGCACTGACACGGACATGTGGTTGTTAGCAGGGTGTGGCACCAGCATCACAGTGTGTGCTGAGAACAACACGTTCATATACACCAAGCAATATGGTGATTGTAGAGATTATAGTAAATGTTCTGTACCAAGAGCTTCTCTCACTGTGTTTATGTATTCAACTATTTGTGCTCTATGTGTCAGATATTATAATAAGGTTTTTAGAAAGCAACCACAATAAAATGAACTGGGATAGTAACACTGTAAAAACACATGAAAATCTCACAGGTTCAGCCTCCGATCAACTTTGTCTCTACAAATTTTATTCACATCCTCCATGTTGTTTACTAGTACTAACTCTGTTCTCATTTCAGGCCCTGGGTTCTTTCCAGATGGGAAGGAGAGAAATACAAATACTGTAATACAGTACTTAAGGAGTGTTTTGAGGTATCTGTACTTTACTGTACAACTTTTTACCCCCTACATTTTTACACAAATATCAGTACTTTCTACTTCGTACATTTTCAAAACAGACTTGTTACTTTAAGAAGAGAAAAGAACCAAAGTGGTATCCTGTCCAAAAAAGAAGCAGCCGGCCTGTTGTTGAAGCAGCTCATGATATGATTTGTACTGTAGTTAGGCAAAACAATAACAGCACCTGGTTCTCAATTTATTCATGTTTATTCATAAAATAAAATATTATGTGTCCAGAATCTGGATAATGAATGAATCGTGAAAACATGATCATGCTCCTTGGCGTATTTAGGCCAAAGAATATGCAGCTTTACAGTGCTATACACCTCCAGACACCAGATCCCACTCTGAAACTATTTATAGAACAAATTCTGCATGCAAAGTTATGCAAAAAGTCCATGTTAAACCCTACTCTCTTATATTTGTGTCCTTAGATGTGGTCTTTACAGTGTTGCATTATTGCACTATTTAGATTAGGTTTCATATGTGTCTGAGGATAAAGATCAACAAGGCAAACTTCAAAGTCTTAATTTAAAACCAGAACAAAGATGATCATCCTAATAATGTGTGTGTGTGTGTGTGTGTGTGTGTGTGTGTGTGTGTGTGTGTGTGTGTTTGTGTAAATGCTGCCACTGTGGTTAATCTATAAGTGTGCTGAGTACCTGGCTGGCTGTTCCTATAGCCACTGAGATGTGACAAGTTGTCAGGACTCTCCACTGACAGCTTGTTGCTGAGGTAAAGAAAGAACACAGCCATCAACGCCATGAAGGCTGCGATGGAAGACAGCACACCCAGAAGCTCAGGAGAGACTGAGGAGAGGAACAGAAATACAGAGGGAGGGAAGAGGGGAGACAGGGGATGGAAAGGGAGAGGCAGACAGAAAGAGAGAAAAACAAAATTAGACATAGGAAAAGATAAGTAATTCTGATTATGGAGGAATGTAACTTTCCAAACCAAAGTCTTTCATTTTTAGGAAAAAGAGTCTTAACACAGATGGCTGCAAGCTGAAAAATGCTATTTTGAATAAAATCCTTTTAAGGCTGTAAACAACCCCACTTTGATACCACAAATAATTCTTTTTGATGATAGGCATCTTTTTTTCGAATCAAACTCCTCAAATGTTGCCTTGTGAAGGGAGCATTAGCTATTGTACTTTTAAACAGCCAGTGAGTTTTCCCACTTCAAAGGCATACCAGATACAATCTACAGCAGTGTATGTAGGCCAACCATACTTCATGTAACCATGCAGCCCTGCGCTGCTGAAGTGCTATTTTTATGAGAGCCTCAAAGGGACTGTATCTTACTGAAACATAGACTTGGTAAACCAGCCAAACCGCAATGGGCCTGCACTTAATAGGCTACAACACAGACACACCGCAGTGTAATAGCTTAAGAAAAAGGGAAAGCTGGCGGACAATGAAGCATGAACGGCATTTCTAAAGACCAAATGCCTCGGTGGAAAGGGCAGCATGTAAAATGAAGCACACTGCAAGCGAGCCTTGGTGATATGAGGTGTCTGAATTTCAAGTTTAAGTACTTGAGACACATGATACAGTTTTTTGATTCCAAAATAATATATATTCAACAGTGAATTCCTTAGTATTTTATTAGAGACACCAATTTCAAAGGCTTTGTACACCCACACAGGTGTTTTCAATTGACCTTTCACTGAACCCCTCTCCTGAACAACAGTTGCTTAGCTTATCAACCATTTAAAGAATTTAGGGCAGGCGTCTTTTAAATCGAAAACACAAAACTGTAAGGAATGGATTAAAGGAGCAGCGTGTAGGATTTAGTGGCATCTAGTGGTGAAGTTACACAATGCAACAAACTGAACTAAATGTGTAAGAGAAAGTATAACGGCCACAAAAGATGCGAAAGGCCCTATCGACAGCCAGTGTTTGTCCGTTCTGGGCTACTGTAGAAACATGGCGGCTCAACATGGCGGACTCCACGGAAGATGACCCGCTGGGTCTGTAGATTCCTAAATTCAGGTGATTATACACGAATGAAAACATAACAATGGATATTAGATTCCATTTCTGACTATAGATCCTCTTAAATGTTACACATGGGACCTTTCAAGTGTGTGTTTGATTGCTCTAATATTAGCTAATTTAGCACATCTGGCTAACTGGCTTACTACCTGCAGTCGGGATTACTGTTACTTCCAAGGCTAAGCGTTAGCATATAATTTACATTAGTTTGTGTGGTCCACTGTGTGTCCTCCTGGATGCTCTATGTTGGATTTTGGATGGTTTACGCCTTTTGTCTTGTTACATTAAAAGTGAAACATACTGTTTGAATATAAAAACAATAAAGCAAAAATAAGACAAACAACAATAAAGTTGCGGGCCCTAAACCCAAAACAATGAGCTGAAAGATGCTAAATCTCTCCGTAAAGCTGAAGGACTGCAGAACTGGATGATCAATGTTTGATGTTGATCTTCTACATTACTCATTGTCATTGTTAATGCAGCTTTAAGGTGGCACTTTAGCTCCTTCTGGGACGTAATATTTTATATGATCCTTACAGCCAACTCTATTTATGGTTTGTAATGTGTTTGAGTTTGTGACATATTTTGTGTTATTTTTTTCATTTTGTTGTTTTAATCTCCTGGTTAGGAGACAAATAGGTCAAATAAACAACCAACTAGTCATTTTTTCAGCTTCTAAATTGTGGACTTGCTGTTTTTCTTTGTTTTATGTGATTTCAAATTGACAATTATAAATATTTTAGACTGTTAATTAGACAAAACAAGCTATTTGAAGACATCAACTTGGGAAATGGTAAGGGGCATCTTTCACCTTTCACATTTTATTGACCAAACAAATAATTAATCACATGAGAAAATATTATATATACATATATATAAATAAAAGTGTGGTGCATTTCAAGCCAGTGCGTTTGGTGTAGCATGTGGTTTGTAGCAGGTGAGAAACAACCATCACCACCAGTAACTGTGAAGACTGGTTTCTCCCTGAGAGCACAAATGAGAGCGGAAGAGAGAAAAATAGAGGCATAGTTTCTCAAACCTCCTGACTACAGACTGAACTTATGGACAGACTAGTTTCACCATGGCAACAGGCAGAGACCACTGCAGCCTGACAACTAGCGCTGCCGCCTGCTGCAGACTGCCGAAAATAATGAATGCTAAAATTCCCCAAGAATGGCGTTGATAAGTAGGAGAGAGATACCAGAGCGATGTGGCAGCAGAGGCTTACCTTCTCTAAATGAATATCCTCTTTAAAGCCAGCTGTTCCCAAAAAGCACTATCAGTACTTCTGCTGCTATACATAGTAAATGATCTGAGAAGAGAGGGGGAAAAACAAAGTTGTCCTGCTCTGAAGTAATCCGACATGTAATAAATCCCTTACACTTAGACGGCGTCCAGCACTTGCCAGGCTTACGTATCAACTCTCACTGCTGACAGTTGTGTCGATTGAGCCAGAATGACCTCTGCAGCCACAGGCACAGCAGCCTGCCTGTTGAACTGAACAGCTTATGGGCCCTGTGCCCCCGGGGTGTGATGACACTTCATACATGGCCCTTGCTCTGTAAATGTCAACGACAGCTGAATAATTTAGCCACCTGAGGTAACTCGATCCCCTCTGTCGATGTATACTGGAAAGTGGAGCGGTGGCAAGACGCCCATTGGAAAAGCTCGCATGCCGCTATCGGTTATTTTTTATACCCATCATTCTGAGAAAAATCTGATATTTCTCTTTAACAGCAGAGCAGATTAAAGTGGATTTTTTTTTTTTTTGCCTCTCAGCCACTTCCCTTTCTCTTCATATGCCTTTTTAACTCCCCTCTTTCACCCTATCCATCCTCCTTGAGCGTGTGCATGTACAATTTGTATGTCTGAGCAGAATAAATAAAGAAAATATAAACAAATAAATCATTTTTTTTACAGCGTGTGAACTGAACAGGACTCCGAACTGAGCCTCAGGATTCAATCTGCATTATTTCTTTTCCAGGTAAATGACTCCAGCAACCTGACTAACAAACATAAAAACACAGCCACTGAAGCATTCAATGTGAAAAACAGCAAATGAATAACAACCTCAGAGAAAACATGAACTCATTTAGATGAAATGTTTTCAAATAAAACAAAGGGAAATTAATCATTCTGTCATGTTTCTACATCTTTTAAACACAAGACAGAAAGAAATGATGTCATATTTCCTCACTCCTCGAGTTAACCCTCATTCATTTATTCATGTAATAACTTATCCCACTTTTAAGCTTTTTAGACCAGTGCATACTTAACTTGGCTGTTTATAGGGCATGCTTGTTTAAAAAGTAGGTAGGCAATCTGGAAATGTTGCTTACACATGGACCTCTGATACGAAACAAAACCTCCACGCTGAATAAATCATGAACACACAGCTGCCTTCTTTTGCTGAAGTGAGCCAAAACTCGATATGCCATGCATAATTCAGACCCTGACATTATGCTTTCTGAAGTCTATATAGAGATACTTTCTACACACCAAATTCCAGTGAAAATTCACAGGATTTAAAGGACAGGTGGAAGCTCGGGCTAAATATTTGGACGTATCAAGTCTTATTGTGCTTTTAAAAGTGAATTAGTGGAGCGCAGCCAAGCACGCACGTCAGTCTGAAAACAATCACACACACACACACACACACAAAAAAATGTACTCTTATGCCTAACGCAGACACACACAAGTGTTAAGAGATATGCTCGGTTGTAACATGGCCCTTACCTCGTCTGGCACATATGAGCTCATGAACACCACAGTTCCTCCCCCCTCCTGGGAGAGAAAGAGATGAGAAGTTGGGAGTCAGAGGTTAAAGATTATTCCATGTACTGAAGAAAACATATGGTCAGGCCTCAAGGTTAGGAAGGCTGGCAGATGCTTATGCCAACACATATAAAAACTGATTAGCTGGAACCAAGTGAGAAAACTACACAATCTAAGTTAATATAAGTGCACCATGAGAGGGAAGTGTAAAATATCTGTCTGAAGTTTAACATTTTATATTCACTATATGATAAGATTGATACCACTGTGGTATTAGTTTTTTAGGGTTAGAGACGGGTAGCTTAGCTTAGCACAAAGACTGGAAACAGATGGAAACAGCTAGCCTACAAACATAAGAATGGTTTTATCGGGGGTTATGCGCGGGACTATTTCTTGGCTGTGGGGTGCTTGTGGGTAGATTGTTTTAGTTTTGGAGAGAGCCAGGCTCGCTGCTTCCTACCACTTTCTAGTCTTTATGCTAAGCTAAGCGTCTCCTGGCAGACGTGAAAGTGGAATAAATCTTCACAAGAAAGTGAAAAAGCCAGAAAAATATATAAGCCATTCCTTCAAATATTGCGTACATTAAGGGATAAAGTACTCGAAATAACTATAAATAAATAAAAAGTACACTGTAAGCCATAACCATCTCTGAAGCAGCAATACCCCCAGTAACAATGGGAATTAGAATCTCTCTCTCTAAATGGGTCAAAACTGTGCTAAGGCTCATTAATGTAATATATTATTCATATTAAATGCAGTAATTATTACTTCAGTTCATCTTTCAAGAGATCTAAAGTAATGATTTCAGTTGTTACACTCGGGGCTGTAGCCAGGACCCCCCCCCCAAAATAAACACTAACACCACAAGTCTCTGATAGTTTAATTATTTAAATTTTATTTTCTGAGGTTTCTTACAACTGTGTTTCCTAACATGTTTCACCTCCAATAGTTGATCTTTTTACATTATCTGGAAATATGTTTAAGTTTTCTTTCTGTTTTTGATCC